AGTCTCTAAAGCAGGGGTTTTGAGCTTTTAAATAGTTAATGTGTCATGTAATGCACAGCAACAGCTATTTGAACTTGAAGGATAGTCCCTACAAATGTGGCTATTATTTGACTCAAATGATATGGTAGATGCAAATTCTCTTGTTCAGATGCAGTGTATAAGGTGCCCATGAATAAGTTGAAGTCACCATTGTTGCTTTACAGATGATACAGCATCTAAGCTATCCTCCTTAGTAGTGGTGGCAGTGGCGGTGGTGCTATGGTAGATAAGGGATAGACTCTTCAAAACAGCAACAGTCAGAATATTCTTAGAAATTAAAAGGATATTAATGACCAAACATGCTTAAAGATCAGACAAGTGATATTACTGCATAGAAAAACAAAGTGTGAAGAACACATTGAAATGGCAAAGACCTAAAAATGGTTCTAATTCTTTTAATGGAGTCAATTAATCATGCCAAAATCTAGAGCTTCAGTAGAGTTCAACAAGCACATATGGCAAATTTATGGATGAAAGGTTCGATACCTTGTAATTTTAAGAGTATTATTAATACCTAGCTCATAGTAATTTTTTATTATAAACACTCTTAAAATTGCAGGAAAATAACACTCTTAAAATTTGGAAAATTTGTCCTAAAGTGAAAGTACTTTTAAAATTTGCAGCTTGAAAAAACAGTTCACATAAATGTTTTTAAACAATGAGCCAGTTCTGGCAGAGTGAGGTTGATGAATTCATAAACATTGTGGAAACTGACTGCCTGTTTTGTTTTTCAATGAATGTTTTGGTTAGAATGTGTAAACATAGATATGAATTTATAGTAAAGAAACATGTGACAAGATAAATGAAGAACGTAATATTTTGTCATCAAATAACACCATCATTTGAAAAAACTGTAAATTCATAAGTTCTACCTTTTACACATTATCATGGTATTATTAGATTAACAGAAATATTAAATAGCAATCTCATAAGATAGAAAACTTAGTCAAAATACAGATGCTTGTAAACAAAAATATTGCTCACCCAATAAATTGAGCAGGAGTGAAGTATACAAGAATTTTTATTATGCTAGCTCATAGTAATTTTCTATTGTTATAAAATCTGAATCTGTGGATAAGAGAATGTTTAAAGAGGGGTAAGTGAGACAAGGTATTAGAACTCCTCAAAATTGTCAGTTTTATTTCAGTGAAAGCTCTTATGGATCAAAATCCACTTCCTCAAAAAAAGGACTGCAAATACATGGCAAATATACCCTATGAAAGTCTGAGGAAGTGGATTTTTTTTTATCCAAAAAAGGTGACACTGAAATAAAACTGCAAGTTGTTAATAATGGAAGCTACCTTGAGTCCTTTTTAAGGAGAAAGGTGGGATAAAAATACTTTAAATAAATAAATAAACAAACAAACAAACAAATTTAAAGTTCTACAACATTTTGCCCCTTTCCTTGTTTCTTGCACAAATAGAGAAATAACCTGCTTCATTAGAAATGGTGACAAAGACAGTTTCATAGGCCATGCTGGTTGCCTAATTAAACAAACAAACAAACAAATTTAAAGTTCTACAACATTTTGCCCCTTTCCTTGTTTCTTGCACAAATAGAGAAATAACCTGCTTCATTAGAAATGGTGACAAAGACAGTTTCATAGGCCATGCTGAAAAAGTTGCCTAATAATGCAGTGATTGAGTCTACTATGATCCTATTTCTTGGCTGCACACATACAACATTTGACAAAATCAATCAATAAGGTGGGTGGAGGGATAAAGCTTTAAGGCTCCAGCTCTACGTTTTTGAAAGCTGTAGTCTAAAAATGCCAATATGCACACCTTTAACAGGAGGTTGTAAAACACACTGTGTTTATATCCTTAGGATAGCTTATAACAGGAAGAAAAAGGTCTCTCTGCACTTCCAAAGAGCGTCCCCCTCACTTACGTGTGGAGGTAAATGGACTTAGAAACATGAAAATGGAAATTCCGTCTCGCCTCAACAGATATTCTCATTAGCTGCATGCCATGTTATTTGATTAAACACAATTTGACAGACAAGAAGTATTCAAGGAAAGGGAAAATAAAAGAATCCAAAGCTTTTGTCATCCTCTCTAATAAAACTGATCCTCAAGCTGAGTCTGAATGCAACTTTATATTTGAGACCAATTCCTGAACTTAAGCTAGGTATGAGAATTTGGGGTGAACCCAAAGTGGAGGTGTGAAAGAGGCTCTTACTTTCCTTTTTGCGTCCCTTTGTATAATTCTGAAAGAGAATCTCTGAAATCCTAATGTTTTGTTTTAATGAAAGAACGGATCGTAAATGCTCATGTCTGCCTTTTCCTTCATCTTTTGTCTGTCAAATTGTCATTTACGTGCTTAACAAAGTAACACAATATGGGCTGCTGTCAGCAATCAATCAGAATGTTCAGGGAAGGGAGAGGGAATTTTGGATTGTAGAAAGACCTGCATTAGTTGTGGAACCCAATGAAAAATGTTCCTTTGCTTCAGCTCTTCCTTGTAGGTGGCATCTCTATGCTGCTGAGCTCCACAGTGCCCTCTATCTTGATTGCTGTCCGTCCATGCTTGTGGACCCATTTTTTCCTGGATTTGGGGGGGAATTCCCCCCTCTTTTTTCTTTTCTTTCCTGCTGCCTGGTGGTGATGGACTCAAGAAAGAGAAGAAACGACATTGAGTGGTGGCGGGGGAAGATTCTCCCCATATTCTAGTGATTTTGGTTGGGGAAAGCTTTGAGAGTATTTTCTGCCTTTGTATGCTTCTTTGCTTTTGGGGAGGGAGGCAGTGTGTGCATTTGTTTTTAAAATCGTTGATCTGGGTGTTGTGTACCACTGATGTACTGATTTATACAGACTTGTTAAATTTTGGTGAAATGACTTGGTGCAATGCTTAAATAAGACTGTATTAGCCCAGGGAATTCTTTCTACATACATCTGGGGATGGAAATATGTATTTTTCTGTGTATACGACTATATTTTTGTCTAAAATATTTAGATTTAAATTGAGGGTCGTTTTATACATGGAAGTAAGGACAGGTACAAGGATTAAAGCACTTCAATTCCTGCTTTCCCCCTTCACTTTTTGCGAAGAAAGTGGAGGGGGAAAGCACTTTCTTCACAAGAAAGTGGAGGGGGAAAGAAGGAATCAAAGCTCTTTGATGATTCCTGCTTTCCCCCTCCATTTTCTTGCAAAGGAAATGGAGGGGGAAAGCACTTTCTTTGCAAGAGAGTGAAGGGGGAAAGCATGAATCAAAGCACTTTGATCCCTGCCTTTCCCCTCCATTTTCTTGCAAAGAAAGAAATTCTGGGTTAGAAAAGTGGTGGGGGTCATACGTGGGGATGTCTTATACATGAAAAAAATATGGTATCTTCCCAATCTAGACACCCTCTCCTAGAAATCAATTTTTTATCTTCCACTGAAGGGCTACATTTTCTTAACTGTGCATCTTGAGCTCCATTCAAACAGAACTCACTTTCAGTATTCTCTCTTATTACAGAAAATGTTGGTTCAAGTCCTATCAGTGTTGGTAACATTATGTAACTTGCTACTGCTAATTGCCAAGGTGTATCAAATCAAAACATGCCCTGACACATCATTAATTAGCCCCAATTAGACACAGCATGCTACACAAACTTTATGTGGATATCAGAAGGATTCTGGCTGTTTATATTTTTTGGGAGGAGTGATTACACGAGAGGTGATTACACTAAGAAGTGTATCAATTAAGGTCTGCAACTGTAAGATATACAAGAAGCAGCTGAAAATGAATGTACCAGATGCAAGAATTTCAATAATAGAACTCTGCTTGAAAGTACAACACAAGCACAAGGAAGTTGTAAACACAGCTAACATTAGGTAGACCTTGTTCAAATTAAGGGAACAGTAATGGCTGTGATGCCCTTCTCTGGTTTCACTATGTTTCTTGGTGCTCCACTCTGTGCCTGCCAAGGACCTAACCTCTCAGTGAGCCCTGAAAACTCAACATCTCTCATCCTTCTCCACCATTTCAATTCCATAAGAAAATGCCGCAAGAGCTTCTTTCTCCAAAGTAGAGAGCACCTTTTGCCCTCCAGACCAGATTGCTTCGCTTGCCTTCCAATCAACCCACCCAGTCCGCTTACCTTGAATTGTTCGTTTGAAAAAGGCTTTGCATGCTTCACAGGAGGCCACTCCATAGTGGTATCCAGATGCAATGTCCCCACACACTAGGCACAACCTTTTAGGGATGGCATTGAGCATATATTCACACTTGGTGGGTGAGTCTTCCATGATGGCACTGGCACAGTCATCATACCGCTTGCGGCAGGGCCCGCCACCAATCCCTGTGCTGCTGAACATGGGTGGAGAGTCCAAGCCATTGGGGTGGCCACCTATTGTGATGCCATAGCCACCACTGGCATCAGATGAACCGCTTGGACTGTGGTGGCTGATGGCGTCAATGCCAGAGGAGGGGCTGGATGGCTCAGTCTTGATGAAGGATCCACAACTGGAGGTGAGGTGCCGCTCATCTGTGGACATTCTGCCTAGCAGCCTGTTGGCAAGAAGCACAGAAAGATCATTAGCTGGCAGGAAGCCCAAACACACTTAGAACAGTGCCCGTTCAGGATTTTGGAACGACAATACTGGAAAATATGAATCTTGATTTATTGATGCATACATTCACCCCCAGCAAATCTCTTGAATCCAGCCCAAATATCTTCTTTGTTAAGCTCAGGAGTGGGAAGAAATTTATGCAGTTCATATTTTGACATAAACTTACTTTTCCCTTCCCCAGCCAGTTCACGAACTAAAATACAGTTACTGTTCAATATTAACACTATGCACTTTGTTAATGTAGAAAAATTGCAAATTCTGTGATGCATATCCTCTCACCACCCCTTGTCCCTCTTTTAAACTTTAGAAAAAAGGAAACATCTGCATGTATTTCTGAAAACACTACTGCCTGGCAACCCAATCCACCAAACTTCCTTTCCTTTCCTCCTTCTCTTAGAAATTTATCTCTTTACCTTCCCTCTTTTTGTTGCCTATTCTTCATTTTGCAGCAGAAGAATACCAAGGCTAGGGCTAAAGAATAAACAGAAAAATCCCAAAGTGATTCAGGTTGAGTCCTGTACTACACTAAGAAGGATAATGTGTGCTTATTTGTCCTAGGATACATTTCCGAAGAAAAGACACTTCATAACAGACGTGAAGGAGGAGAGGTTTAATCCAATTTTGCTGTGAATAAGTAAAAGAAACTCTCTCACTATCCATGGCCCCATGTAACTAGCTTAAAAGATTTTACACACTGCATTACTCTCAACTCCCCCATTGCTCTGCCCTGTTTTTAAATCTGAGTTCATTTTCTATAATCTTTCCAGCATCTTCATTGCCTTTCTTTGGATACTTTCCCAAGTGTCTTACGAATTTCCTGTGTTCAGGTGCAGAGATAAGAATGCAGCACCTGAAATGCATCTGGGACAGAGCAAGAGAGTGAGAGTCTGCTTCATTAACAGAAAGCTAGAATAGTTAACTTTACAGTCATTTGTTCTCTAAGCCATGGATCACATTGCAGATTGTTGTTAAACCCCTCAGATTTTTGTTGGAATTGCACATTAGTCTCTTTGCAGCTCTTAGATCCACCAGCTTCCTCAATCCTTCCTGCCCCTTTAATATATATGTGCAACATCTGAAGAGCTGCATGGAGAACTTCTATGTGTCCACAGGGCTTATGAGCTGCAAATGTCACCTTTCAGAGTGCAACCAACATATGTGGCTCTTGAAATTCAGGCCGGAAAGCCAGTGCAGTGGAGTAGTTTGAATATTAGGCTGACACTTGAGAAAACCAGCTTCTAATCCCTGCTGATGGATCTCACTGGATGACCTCAGGACAGTCATTCCATCCCAATTTGATATACCAGGGTTGTGAGGATATAGGAGGAAGGAGTCTCTGGAGAAGAGGAAAGCTTTGTGTATGACCTTGAACTCAGTGGAGGAAAGGGGGGTATATAAATATAACCAATAAACACATTTTCCAGGAAAGGATCCAGTGCAGTGTGGGAGAATTTTAAAAACTGTGCTGCTTATATACTGCCCTATAGCACTTAAAGCACAATCTAGACAATATACAATTCAGTTATGCAGGCTACACATTGCCCCACCCACCACCGATCTGGGTACTCAATATATCAACCTCAGAAGGATAGAAGGCTAAGTGAACCTTGAGCTGGCTAGCTGCAATTGAACCCGGATTGTAGCAGAGTTTTGGCTGCAGTACTGCAGTTTAACCACTGTGCCACAAGGCTCCTTTAATAGTTATTAGAATGAAAATTCAGTAGCCAATCATAATGCTCACTGGCAAGTGATTTAATGACTCTGAACAAGATTTGTATAGCTCTGTGTACAGTGTATAAGTAAAGCCCAAGAAATAGTCTATTTCCTTTTGACCACTAGTCACTTAGCTGCGTCATAAAATATACTTAACTGTGATGTACTATTTCCTTATACACTCATTGATTTTGATTCTTTGTGACAAGCATGGGCTTGATATGTCCCACAGGAGGTAACCTACAAAAATTCCACAGATTCTACCTTAAAAACAAGATAAACTCAGGCACTCAACATATGGGGTGTCTGAATAGGTCCAGGTAATTTACCAAGGAGCGTTACACCTGGTCTTCAATCCACTTGTTACAACTGACCTTAAACTGAATACAATTTTGAAAAAGGCAATTGATATACAAGTTCTATATTCTTAAGCTGAAAGCATCTGTGTTGAGTGCAAGAATACAATTATTTGGATTTCAGTATAGGAACTAAATTTCAGTTCCTAATATTCATATGAAGAATTAAAAATCAAGATATCTGAAAACAACAAATTAGGATGTCCTTTAATTTACTTTGCTTACATTAAAATATAGGTTCCATTAGCACCTGTGCTGTCTGTGATGCAGCACCTGCATCTAGGCTGATGTTTCAGCATTCATTTGGGACAGAAGTTTATCTTTTCTGCATTGTACTTTTGCAAGTATAGAACTCATCTTGTGAATTACACAGGTGAATCAGACAGAAAACTATTTTCCCTGGTTCCATAAGATCACATGTTCAGCTATCCTGAGTCTTGACCATTTAAATTCTAGTATGTATACAGATCTACATCTGAAGTGTACTTAAAGTTTTTCCATATTAATTGTCCAACCTTCAATGTAGTTTATCTACAGAGTAAACTAAAATGGGAAGATCTTAATATTTACCCTGATTTCCAGGCATGTTATCACTGATGTTTGCTCATGAGCTCATATCAAAACTTTAGTCCAATGTGCAATCTCAGATGATCTTGTAAAAAAGGGGGGGGGACCCCTTCTGATATTTTTGTGAGAATGGGAAGTGAAAAAAATCTTTCCTTCTGTTAAAAGTTCATCTTGGCAAATCTTATCTAATGCATTTGCGAAGGCTTTCACGGCCAGGACCCATAACAACCATCTTATCTAATGCCTTTTATCCTCCAAAAAGGGGAAATTGTCTAAATAAGTCATTCCACAATTATGTTGCTATTACTCAGGGCTGCCCTTGTCTAATGTAAATCAGAGAGGAGGAATAGTTCATTCTGTTTTTGGTTTCGGTTCCAGTAGCATTTTGGAAGTATTTTCCTGCTGACTTTTCATAATTGCTGTCCTGCTGATTCTCATGCCTTTCATGAACCACAAGGACATTTAAAAATGGGTTTCTTCATTCTAATGGTTCCACTATGACCTCACAACCTGCACAGATCCACGCCAGCAGTGGCATGCCTCCTATGGGCCTGAGATGTAAATCTTAGCTTCTTTCATTCTTGCAGATGAATATAAACCATTTCAAGCGATTTTGCTCTCTTGGGTGAAATTACAAGAGTTTTTGTGCATTATTTCTATTTAGAAATACTGGCTACGAACAATTCATTTTGCATGAAATGCAAGGGTTATGTGCAAATCAGAAGTCTTTCATATATAAACACAACTTTTGTGCAAAAAATACTTTTTCGCAAATTTTGCTGCTTATGAAAAAGTGCTCAATTTTGCTATTTTATAGGAGAAAAAACATGCAGTAGCAGACAAATTTTTCATTAATTATCTTGAGGACTCAAAATACCCTTTTTCATTGACACGAGAACATTTCTAGTATTTGCTACAGTCTCTATAGGACAGATGTTTTCCCCATCTGCTTTTAAAATGTTATGCAACTCTGAATTATAAAAGTAATAGGCTCCTTTCCATTTTGGTTTTTCAGGCTGTTTGACTGTGTTCTAAAGTGTTTGGAACACAGACAGAGTTCTAACTCCTGCCCTCTGAAGATGCCGGCCACAGAGACTGGCGAAACATTAGGATAAAAAAACCTCCAGAACATGGCCAAACAGCCCGAAAAACCTGCAACAACTATCACTTTGTCTTGAAAAGCTAAGTATAACATCTGCCTTTAAGTGATTTTCACCATGAAGTTTTTTTTCCAGAGACCATATCAACATTTCACTTCTTGGCCATTTAAAAACAACAACACCTCCTCATTGTTTATATGCACATAATGTGACCTACGTAGATTTTGTAAAGCGAAACAAAAGAGATCTATATGCCATCAGGGAGAATGCCCATAGGAAAGTTTTCTAGACCAAGCATACTATGGTCTTGTCCTCAAATAGATAACATTCTTGGTGGAATGAAAATATAATTGACAGTCATTCTTATATCAGATAAGCACAAATGAAATTTTTAAAATAGATTTGCAATGTGTGTAATACATGCAACATGAAGTGCATGGAAAGCTGATGGATTTCCTTGTTTGACAGCTGATGACAGCAGTTCTCAGAAAATAAAAGAAAAATAGAAGGTGAACTGATTAAAAGGAAAGTACTAAACTCCAAAGATGGCTGCAATGAGATTTAAGATGAGAGGACTTTTCACCAGATGGAAATATAAAAAGTGCTGATCAGTAGGCCTTTTCAGTTTTAACTCTGTCCCAATACGAAACTTCTTTCCCAAAAAAGGCAGGATGGCGCCTGTTTTGGTGCCTTTTTTGGCTGCAGGAAATGACCTTTTCATTCTTTCATTTCTTTTAATCCCTTTATATTTTGCTTGCTATATTATATCTTTAAGGAATTTTATCTTGACAATATTTTGCATATTTTCTTGAAATATCTATTTATCTTCCTACTGCTCTTAACTATTTGCTGCTTTTAACAGACTGACTGACAGTGTATTCATTTGATCCATACAGATTTCATTTGTGTATTTATTGTACACTGTATAGAGAACTATCAACTATAAAGCAACTAATCATTCTTGCTAAGGAAGGAAGAAAGGGATATATTTTAGAAGTTTCTTTGAAATTATTATAAAATGGGTTTACCTGCCACACATTTTCATGAAACCTAGGAGCTTTTATATTCAGGAATATATAACAACACCTATTACATCCTGTAACACAGTGGTCCCCAACCTTGAGCCTCCAGATGTTCTTGGACTACAACTCCCAGAAGCCTTCACCACCACCTCTGCTGGCCAGGATTTCTGGGAGTTGAAG